AGTCTATTTAAGTCCTAGAAGACACCAAAACTGCAGCAACTAGTAAGATGGTCACTTACAGATATTATCACTGGGTTTTCAGTTGTTAATGTTCAGTAGTGGAAAATAACAAATTTCCATCTTTGTATCAAACACTGCTCATCCAAACCACCATAAAATATTAAACTGAATAAAAAAGAGAAGATTTTTAGTAGCATTACAGTCACTTTCCAGGAAGGAAGTACTTTTGCTGCTTCCAATTGATGACACTCATTTCCAGCCCTGTAAAAAGATTACTTTTTAGCAGTCTATGATAAGTCAGCCATATGTTTCCTAGAATTTGAAATCTGTACACCAGGAGCAAGTAAATTATTATTAAGGTGAAACATTGTTGTGCTGAACAGACATGCTACCTAAAGTGTGAGATTTTTCTGAAGGTCGACACGGAAGTATAGCTTTCTCAGCAATCTTATGCATTTTTAAGTAGGTTATTTAAGTATCCACTGACATTCTATTTAAAAATGTTTAGGTAGGGGTCAGTGGTTTTTCTCAATCCGTAAAGTATTAAGACTGTATAAAAGGTCTTATAAGTACAAAACACATGGTGATTCTTGAAGTGTCACACTGATAGAGTGCAAAGTGATAAGATGATCACAGTACCATCTGTATCTCAGGATTAAGCATAGTTGTCCAGAAACCAGAAATGTAACTCTGGTTGTAACAGAAATGTTACTGGTAACATTACTGGTTAACAGAAATGTTACTGGTAACATTACTGGTTAACAGAAATGTTACTGGTAACATTACTGGTTAACAGAAATGTTACTGGTAACAGAAATGTTACTGGTAGTGTAACTGATAATTAGGATACTCTTTACCTGCAAAAGTAGGCATTGAAAAGGCAATGTGACCTGTACCTGTGGTGTTACTGTAGATGTCATCTACCCCAGCTCTGAATGGGAATAGTGATAGTTTTACAGAGTAACATATGGGAACAGAGATACCATCTCTTTGAGAGCCTCGATACCTGTTTCTCAGGGCAGAGAACGTTCTTGTAGCTTCAGATGACAATGTCACACCATAGCATCTTCACAGCGCACTGTGAGGGGAGGGTGCAGCATCACACACGTGCCTTAGTGCCAGGATTTGAAGTGTCAAACTGGAGACTTTTTCACAAGCCTGTCATCTGCCCAGTGATAATCACACCTCTCGGGGAGATGCTGGCTCGGATGTTAAACTTGTCTTCTGTGATGAACTTTTTCAGGTCTTCCAAGTGTTTCCTTTCACTTACCAAACTAGCTGCCCACAGCCAACTTAAGCTGCTTCGACTTTTTATTTTGTCAAATGCTATTAATATCTTAGACATACTTCAGCGCATTGCTAAGATAGCATAGACCCAGCCATGAAGATCATTTACTCCCAAGTCAGACAGACTTCAGCGAAGACCTCAATCTTCATTGTTCGAGTCCCCATCAGGAGAGAGATGTAATGACTGCAACAGCCCGGGAATATGGGCAGCCCTGCGGCTGCAGCACTGCGGGTAGGAAGCCCCCAGGAAAACAGAGCCCATGGCAGAAGTGAAGGCTGTGAGCCAGAGGCATGTGAGGGTCCTGCAGGGCCAGGCACCCGCATGGCGCTGTGCGGGGGCACCAGCGCAGGAGCAGCGGGCGCCTCTGCCCACTACCAGCCTTGGCACATCATCCCCCTGCAGGGTCACACCACATTTTGGGAGCAGACGCCCTTTCTCTCTTCTGCCTCTTCTCCCAGCCCTATCTCAGCTCAGCAGGCACCTGACCCAAGAGCTGCAGGCATGCTGGAGAGGGAGGTGGGAAGGGTTAGCGCCATGTAAGAGAGAGGGTCATAGAGGAGCTGCAGGAGAAAGGTATTCACACCTACCATTTGTGCTAAGTGGGCATCTTAAGTAGGAAGAGGAGCTATCGGGAAAGACGAGGCCAGGCGTGACTTTCAAGGAACGCGGCTGTTGGCACTCATCCTGGGGCGAAGCCAAACGTTTGCAGAGATGGCAGACCTGGGTGCAGCACACCTGCCTCTGGCATGTGCAGATCCCGCTCCAGCTGGGCATGTGCCTTGGAAGAGCAACCGTGCTGAAGCTGCCAGCACTCAAGAGGAAAACAAACCAATTCGCGGAGTATATGACACAACTTGTTGGTCTGAAAGGCATGGGAGATTTCAGACACAGGAGAGACAACAGATTTTCGAAATAATTTGCTTTGTGTTCCTGCTCCTGCCAAAGCAAATTTGCTCTAGGTGTTGTGTGAACAAGTCTTGTTAGCTACTCCCAGCCAGAAATCTCAGTGTAGTGAAGGAATTATTATTATTGTTCGCTCTGTTCATTTAGCGCACCATCCCCTTTGATGGGTCTGAGTAATATGCAGTGAACAAAGCCTACAAACTAAATCTCTTCCGTCTCTTTATAGGAGTTTGATGGACTGATAGACTCATGGGATTTAAACCACTTTGTCCAGTCAAAAAGTATGAGATTCACCCAAGTAATCTCTAAGATGTTCCTTAAATCATTCACTTAGGCTTTTTTTAAGACACACAAAAAAAGCCACACAAGACTACCTAGGAGAGATGCAGATGACATTAATGGTACAACGACCATCTGCTGTTGTCTCGTATCTTCAAGCCGATTTTTATAGTCATAAATTAAGCCATTGTGTATTATTGTGGGGGTCTTTTTCCTCACTGTGTCGATAAGACTTACGTTACTGGGGATCATTATCTTGCAGTAACAGAACACGAGCCTTCAGTAGCACCTCACATGTGCACAAGGACAGTGTCAGTAATTCTGTGGAGCTCTATACCATTTACAGAAATGCGATTTATGTATGCAGAATTCTTTGAGGGTCAAACCTTTCCAATGACAATATTAACCTAGTACTTTGTAAATGTTATTTAATCTTCATAACAGTGTTTGGATGTGGTATGGTTGTTTCCATTGGAATGGCCGTGGATATTATGCATTCTAATGCATGTAGAGCTGGATTATGCATACAGACCATGTTTATTCGAAAGAAAACTTTTCTCATTGCAATGAGTGAGAAATGTTTTCAAATCTGTTTCTTTCTTATGCCATAGATGCTTTTATAGTATAATTATTTCATTTCGGAACTCGGTATATTAATGTCTTTTCCGACCGTTCCTCAGCAAGCTGATGAGCTGGAGAGTACAAAAGCCTTCCGAGTGGAACTTCAGCAGAAGTGGTAGAAGAATCAGGAAAACAGCAGAGATTCCCTAAAGCATATTCAAAAAAAAAACTCGGAAAAAGTCCCCTTCTGTCTTCTTAAAATACTAGTACACAATTTCTCATACTTCTCCAGGCATTTATCCATCAAGATAAGCCTGAAAAGACTTCTTCATTGGCCACACACTAAATGACCCATTTATCCTCTCTAAAGTTTCCCAGTGCCAGAACTGCCTCTCCTAGATGTTTAGATTTTTGTGGAGACAGGCAGCTCTGCAGAGATGCAAATATGCACATTCACGCAGAGGGCTCCTCTGCTAATCTTAGAGAGAGCTGTCTAGTCCCCATCACACACTCCCAGGGCTCCAGCAACTTCCCGCGCTTTAGCTGGAAAATTCCAGCGTGCTGACCTGGTGCTGACTCCTCGCTGTGAAAACACAATGGAATCCATTCTCCTAACGTGGACAAGTTATGCACATAAAAACCCTGTTGACTGAAAGGAGAAGAGAATGCTTTAGCCTTAGCATGACAAGACTCCTTTGAATGCTTACAGCCTTTTTCAGTGAACGGTATTGAGGATAGAGAATATTTTCCTCCTTCCCCCTCCTTTTCTCTTTCCCCCTCGCAGAAATTCGTAGCAGCATACCTAGCACTTCTCGTCTGTATAAGGCTCTCAAAAACTACCTTCATTCTTTTCAGCCAGGTTCCTCTCTCCGTAACTTGGGTAGGGATGCTTTTTATTATAATGCAGCTGGCATCCACTCTTCGATGGTTCTGCCCATCTGCCCCATCCAAGTCCCCTGTTGCATAGTGGCATTGATGAAACTGATAGATAAGGTGCTCTGAGATCATCTATTTTACATTAATAGATATGCCTGAGAACATGGGTAGAGTCACTCTGAGTCAGAACCCACAAAAAGTGGAAACAAAAGATGCAATTCCAGACCAGCAATTCACTAGACCCTGTAGTTGCCAACAAGCCAAGTGATTTCCATGTCACACATAGCTGGCATGATAATAGTTCAGATAAATACTAATTTCGATCTACATTATTGCCTTTTATAAACTTTAGATGTTCTATTATTTAGATAATACACAAATAACACTACAGCAAACCAAGCCAACCAGTCACGAAAACACCAAAAACAAACAAAACCCAACCTGATGTGTCACTCCTCTCCAGCTCCTTCTTTCTTCCAGAAAAACCCAAATAAAGCGGCAGGTTCTGAAGATGAATGAAATTGGATTAATAAGGTGGAGAGACAAGAATTGCAGATTTAAATTCTTGCACTGGCATTCCCTGAATTTCTAATCTTAACTCCCGAAAAAGCAGATGTCTTCTCCAAAGGGCAGAAACAACCATATAATAGTTTTAAAAGGGTTTGATCTAGAGCTGTTTGAAGCAGAAAGAAGTTCCCCTGTTGTCTTCAGCGCCTTTGGATCCAAGCTCCAAGAAAACATCAAGTGTAAAAATATTTTTTTTTTAATGGCAGAGAGTAACCTCATAAATTTAAATAATATTTGGATAACTCATTTGGTTCACCTGTGGTAATACATTGCTTCTTATTCGAGTAGTAGTATATTCATAAGAATAAAGTAGTAATCAGTGCTTTATTCTTTGAACAACTCAGAAACAGCAGGATAAGAGTATGAGTTTTGTTTTATATGTGATAGCAACTTAGGTAAAATATCTTGTTTGGTTGGGTTTTTTTTGTAATATTGTGTAAAAAAAAGTTGTATAATGTAATCATTTAGTGTTTATTTTATTATGTGTACCTTCTACTCAGAGGGTTGGCATTATTGTTCCTAACAGTGATGGATACAAGCAGATCATGCCCTATGACCTCTACCATCCCCTTCCTCGGTACGTAAAACAGTCAACCAGATGCTAAGATTAACAAACACATTTACTTCTTTTTTTCTCTTCTTTGCGTTTCTGCTTTGCTCTCAAACTAAGTTAACAGATGCTTCTTTTCTCTTGCTCTGAAATCCTGCAGGTTAACCTAGAGGTGTTCAAGCGCTAACCTGTTGTTATAAATTCTGTTGATGAAGAACTGAAATCATATTCTAGCTGAAGCAGCAGTGCAGACTTACTGAGTGTGTGGTCCTTTCCTTTCTCTCTTTCCTCACTCCCCAACCCCACCTCCTCTTTTCTCTCACACGTTTCCTTTTCCTTCCCTTTACTCGTCTCTGAACAGGGCTATAACCTGTGGCTTCATAATGAACCATCAGACTTTTCTCTCCCTTTCTCTCCAGCAGTGCTGCTTCTTGCATGCTTGTACATTGTGAGATTTGGGGTTTAGACGGTATCAGTGTTATGTTCTGATTTTGCAAATCTATGCTAATGCCTTCCCCAGGGGCATTAATCCATTGGCTTTTCTAAGAAATCAGAGATCAGGGCAGGAATAGAATCAAGGCCTGATTCGTATTATTAATTATCTCACAATTAAAATGTCTTTAATGTAAGACTTGAAATTCTCATGGAAGTAACAACATGAGTAATTACTCTTAAAGCAGGGCATAAGACTGGTGCCTATAAAAACATTTGGTAGCTGAAGGATAATAACCTTTTGGTTTTGAAATACTGCCTGGACATGCAACAGTATTGTGTTTTGTCTTATTCTTCACTAATTTATTGTGTCATGGAGCATGAAATCACAGAAAGACCGCCCCCTAGGCAGCTTGTTAGTCCCATCCTGGTGAGGAAACAACCTCCCTCAAGCCATGGTGAGGCCTAATGCCGAGAGCTTTCAGCATCAGTGTGCAAGCACAGAGCATTCACGTTCAGTCTCCAGCCAAATCATGGACCCTCCCCAAACCGTGAGTGAGAACACGAGGAGGAGAGCAGCTTGCGTGCCAAGCGTTGTGGCTGCCATTCATGTCGACACCCTTTATCAATCATCTGTGTCATTTGGATTAGTATTTTCTCTTCCTAGCTCAGTGCTTATGGTTATGTACACGCAGTCATTATCACCAAATGTTCGTGAGATACACTTATAAAATTTATCCCTGTGTCTAATTCCTTTTTTTCTGGAAAAATATTTCCTCTGTTCTTTATTAAAAAAACCCAACGTACACATACCTCCTAACCTCAAAAACTACACCTCTGTGAATGAGGAATATAGAAGCTAGAATTTTCATACAGAGTTTAACATTCTAGCTTTGAATAAAACAGATTTTATTTCAATTGTATACAAAGGGCATGTACATTGACAAAAGATGGAGAACAATTTTATATCAGAGGATGATTCAGCAGTACTTAACAGTGGAGGGATTGTATTCAAGGAAAAAGCATCCTGAGCTGGCAGTTAGGCAGAGGCTTTTTTACTGCTGAAGAAAATCCAAAATAAAGGATCAAAATGCCCTGAGGTATTTGACTTTCAGTAACACTGAAAGAAAAAAAAAAAAAATCATTCCCTTAAAATGATCAAAAGGCTGAGACTGTTTCTCAAGCTGTTCTGGATTATGGTCTCACCCCGTAACAGTCCCTTTACATCCACTCTCCCACCCGCACTTCTCTCCTTTAACCCCTGCATCAATTGCTCAGGCTGCAGCTGCTGGCTGGGAGCTCCACTCACCTTCTCCCCTTGCTGTTTCACTGCTGCTTCACCTCTTCTCCCTCTGCCACGCTCCTGTGTGTGCTACTACGAATGCATCAAGAGGGCTCAGGTCTTCCTCCCTCGCCTCCCTCGCCACTTCTCCAAACCTCAGACAGCAGAAACTGAATGGACCAGGAGGTTGGCATGAGACAGGGCCAAGTCAGGGGGATAAAAAGCATCTTTCCTCTGAACCTGCAGAGTTCAGACAAAAAAAGCCCAAATAAAAATAAATAAAAAAACAATCAACCAAACCAGAGAGAGTCTGATTGCATCATCTGTCTGAGAATGGCACCTAATGCCAGGGATGGAAGAGAGCGACAAATGCCCCAGGAGAAGTGGAGAGCAAATCTGAGAAGGTATCTTTGCAAGATTTCCCTTCTGCAATCCCTCAGCCCTGAACTTTATCACAAAGAGGGAAAGGTATGGTTCAGCCGATATAGTCCTTACTTTTAATGCACCACTAATTCCTTTCACAAATCGTCGACCAGTGTTGCACCCTTGGTACCTCACAAGGAGCTGTGACACTTGCCCTGACAGCTGTAGAACAGAGATACTTCACCTTCCTCTCTCACACTCATACAAAATCTGAGGATCAAACGGCTTGCCTAGATTTCGGCTGCTTGGTATTACTGGGGTTGCCTAAGGCATCTGGAAACTTGTCCCAAAGACTCCAGGGAATTCCCTGGTGCCACAATGCTTTTATGCCTGGGAAAAGCTGGATCAGGCTGGCTGCAGCAGTTTCTGCTGTTCATGAGTTTCAATTTGAGGCCTCTTCATTTAAGTTTGTGGTAGAGAGAAACCTCATCTCTATGCTGGGAAACTTGTTCAGCAGAGTCACAAGTAGCATGTTTGAACTAAAAACATTGCTAAAATTACCTGTTGGTGACATATATGGCTTATACTGAGCACACAATGATGTATATGGCATGGTGTAAACATTGTTTCACCGCTTCTTTGTGATAAGTCATAGAATTAATCAGTGGCTTTACCATTCGTTAACAGTTATTAACACAAGCCGTTTCACACTGAGTTTTATGGCACTTTTCACCCAGTAGCCAAGTGTGGGTAGTGCTTACATGTACTGGAGCTGATGACAAAAAGATGGGCTGATGTGATGAAAAACAGAAGAAAATATAAGCATTTTTCATACTGCTTAATAATCATGGTGATCCCATGATTGTTCCTTAATAGAAATAATTTCTTTGCTTTAAGTAGGAGAACAAGAACCTCACCTTTCACTGTTTTTCCTTCTTGCCTGAAAGAGGAAACAGGTGGGGGTTTTTCTGCAGAAAAATTTTTTAAGTCAAAAAATGAAAACTTGTGACCAAAATCATTGCTTTGAACATTATTTCTAATGTCTTTATCAGAGAGAAATTTACCTTCATAAAAAAAAAAAAGATTTTGTGGAATGTTTCCAGGTAGATAAAACATGCACACTTGTATACCATTAGGCATGCACAGGGTTATACAGGAATAGCCACACTGGATCAAGACAATGGTCCCGGATCCTCTCTGTGACAATGGCTTGAATATAAGAGAGGAAATACCGGACTATCTTGTGTGGACAGACATGTACACATATAAACAATACATACATTATTGTATATGCATCACTGTAAAAAGATTATTCTCAGAAGCATACATTGCTTTTCAGAACGTACTCATTGTTCTGTGGATTTGTCATTACATTCTCAAGTGGCAGCTGTAGAGGGAAGATGGTTTCTCTGTTCCTCTCACTGCCTCAGCTGTAATGAAACAAGGACCATGTGGTTTATCCATCAGAGGCCACGTATCCTATCAGTATAGTCACGTCTTCTTTTTGGTAATTTCCTGCCATCTTCTTTTTTTTCTCAACCCATTTGTTTCCCTGGAAAGAAACACTGCTGTTTCCCTGTCTGTTCTCACGAAAGGAGCATCAGCTTCAGAGCACGCTGAGATTCCAATGATTTGTGACAAAGATTCCTCAGAACATGACAGATTGTGAAGATGTGATAATCCTACCAATCAAATAAAAATAATTAATTTTAAAGTATTTATAGTTTCTGTGCTAGTAGTCACTGGTTAGTGGGAGAGGGAAGATTTCATATTACTAAATCTGTGACTTAAAGACAGCAGCCATGAGAGTGCTTTGCTGTTATGACCATTTAGGAAAAAATATATATTAGTAATTTTTACTACATCAATCAAAAAAAAGCCCCAACTTCTTGAAGGTAGCAATTCATGTGTTTGAGGGCTGTAGGTGGGGACAGGGGCAGCAGGGGTTTCTTTTCCTGATGCTTCTCTGTTTTGTTTTTTAACCCAGATGGGAGAGTACACCCTGGACCGCCTGTTCCTCGTCATGTGGAGGAGGCATTCAAAGCCGCAGCATCTCATGTGTGGAAGAAGACATTCAGGGGCATATCAGTCCCGTGGAAGAATGGAAATGCATGTATACTCCAAAGATGCCTGTTGTCCAGCCTTGCAATGTATTTGACTGCCCAAAGTGGCTTGCTCAGGAATGGTCTCCGGTAATCAGCTTAGCTTTGTTAGTTTTATATTTGCCGCTCCAGAAATACAACTCAAATTGTAGTTTACTGAGCTTGCAGAAGTAGGAACATTCACTACTTTCTTTCCTTATTACCATGACCACTGTTTCAAATTATGCTCTTTGTCTAACTGCAAAGTAATTAGTGAGGAATAATGTATTAATAAGATTAACATGATTAAGGAGAATGATGGAAAAATAAATCAGATCTGTAACGTTAATTAGTGACCTTCTACTAATAACAGACTGGGAGCATAAATGAAATGTACAAACAAAAGCAATAGGCATGTAATGGCATACCTTTATTACAACTTTTCAGCCATAAACTGAATATCATGAATTGCTGAGAAATTTCCAGAAGTATGTAAAGCTATACATGAATCTGCTCTTTGATGCTTGTAGTTGTCTGCTCCTGACTCACCTTTCCTTCTGTATGAAAGTAAACGTCTTTGAAATGTCTTTCTACAAAAGTAGAAAAGTACTTTGATTTTATACATAAAGACTTTATTTTGAATGTAGATTCTTACCACCCTAGTTTCTGGACAAATTAAGTGGGTTTTAGGAACTAAGCTAGTTCACCCACAGGTGGGGTGTTCTTGACTGATTGCAAAGTGTTTAGTGATTTCCAGATGAAAGGTGCTATCCAAGAGTAAAGTGATATCGGTAGTATCCACAGCCTTCCTCATTGTTTGGTAGTTTTGATCCTCTCCTGTGCAACCACTTCTGAAACAATCTGTACGGGAGGAAAAATTGACATACCTTACCAAAAATATATGAAAAAAGACTTAAGAAAGTGTCTGAGGGAAGAAAGCCCAAGTAGTTTCCCATTCTTTTTGGTGCCATGTTCCAAAATAGCTGAGTGCCACCTTTGTTAATCTATAAGCCCCAGTACTTTGTCCAAGCAAAGCAGAGTGGCTCCAGATGAAACTTGACAGGGTGTTACTGAGCATATCCAATATGGGACGGATGGCCCCAAGCCAAGTAGCCAACACTGACAGAGTGACACTGCAAGAGAAATCCAGTGGCAAAATGTCCCAACCAAGTAAATGTACAAAGCAAAAAGGCAAAAATTTTGGTCAAGTTTATACCTTATCCATAACTAGCAAATACAATGAATAATTTATGTTGAGGGTTGGGTGTTTCTGCATCGTGTTTCGCTCTCTGATGCACACCTACTTCCATTGCATATTCCGCTTTTATTTATCACTCCTGTGATGTATCAGACGCACCTTCTTTTTTCTTTTTTTTTTTTTTTCCTCCAGTGCACTGTGACCTGTGGACAAGGACTCAGATATCGTGTGGTCCTTTGCATTGATCACAGGGGGATGCATACAGGAGGCTGTAGTCCTAAAACAAAGCCACACATAAAAGAAGAATGCATCGTGCCCACTCCTTGCTACAAACCCAAAGGTAATGAGGCAGAAGGATTCTCACGAACTTTTCAGAGTTTTCCAGGTTGAGTGGTTTTGTTTTGTTGCTAGTAGCACTGTTTCCACCTGCACTGAGTTGTAAATTTGCACCTTTAAGGCCTGCCATTCCTATTGCAGTCTGCCTGCTAGCAACTTGGAGTGAATATCAGCCCCTTCCTCTTTCTTACGAGCTCTGGGGTTTTCACTGTTAATTTTTTATCCAGCAGACCAAGCAATATAAATGTACATTTGACCATAGTGAAAGCAGGTTTGACCTCACTGGTTGTGTCTAGGCTAAATTTGCCCTGTAGTTTAAAAGGAATTCAACATATAAATAACATATATGCTACATAAATGTAACTATAATTTTAAAGTGCCTGTTCATAACTTGGAGCTTAAAATAGATCGGAGGCAAGCATTGCATATCCCAACGTGAAGTTCCTATTATTAGCAAGGCTGCAAAATTTGGCAGTTAGACTTGAAGCATCTTAAAGCAAGGAATACTCACAATTTGTATGGAAATGTTTCTTGGCTCAGGTCTCAGACAGAGAGTAACACTGGGGTAAATCCCTCACATTTTATTGAGAGAAGGAGCAAACATTTCTGCAGCTGTTTGGAGGTTCTTATGGGATGGGAATGTTAGAAAAAGTCCTGGAGACTGAATTGGATTAATGGACAGTGACCAGGTGCAGCAGACACAGGTATTCTACAGTTTCCACACATACGTGAGCGTGCATGCGTTTGTGTGTGCGTACAGCTCTATTGATATAACCTCTGTGTCTGTATGCTGACAAACCTGTGGAAACTTCTGGGCTACAGCAATACAGACGAACTTAATTTCCCTAAACTGGAGACTTAAACCCCACTATAAGAAGAATTCAATTCGTTTTAAAAAATTAATTGCTATCCTGATACATATTAAGACCACTTATTATGAAGCCCTGTGAAATAAGAGTGACCCATGACCTCATGCCGATCCAAGATGGAACAATGAAATTTGGAATTTTAATTTCTGTGCTCAGTGGCCGATGATGGGCGCACTTGCCAAGTTTCAAGATTCCAGTTTATCCAGACCATGAGAATTCACTGTGTCTGCCAGCCACCAAAGTGGCGAAAACCAGACATGGGGCCTCTGGGGAGCAAGGGGTATGTTTGCACTGTATTTTACTGGCCAACATGAGCTCACTCTGTCCACCTTCCAAGATGAAAAATAAAAGACCCTGTGACTGTGTCAGCATGACTCTGAGCCTCATACGGAGATTCAGTGGGTTTGGGCTCGGTTAGTCGGTTGCTTTTTCGGGACTTTATCTGTGTGTGGTGTTCAGAGCACAGGTAAAGCAAGATCCTGTCTGCCTGCAACATACACTGTAAGTAAAATGCAGTAAGACACCAAAAATTCAAGTGTTGCAAGCCACCCACAACTGACTTCTGCCTAGGGAACTTAAGAAGGGTGGAGGACCAGCTAGGAAAGCTTAGCTTGCCTGCACCTGTCAAGAAGTCTATTCCAATGGGGCTTGCATGGGAATAAAGTAAATTGCGGTTTGCTGGAAGCCCACTCTTGCAACAGAGTGGCGTCTTTACCCTGGATAAACTTTTATGCTGCCCTTTGCAATACACACCATGATTAATTTCGGATTGTACAAAGTTATGTCTTTTTTTCTGTTTTTCCCATGGGATGGAAAGCCCTATGTGAAGCATACAGTTTTGCTTGGGTTTAATTTTACTCCTCATCTTGGTTCTGCAATGCTCTCACAGTTCTCCCTCCATAATGGAAGTGGTAATGTTTCAAGACCCATGTATCTGAAGGCTGAATCGTGCTTTCAGAAGAGAGTTAGACCAGATGATATCCAGAGGTCTCTTCTGATTCAAATTATTCTATTTATATGCTGGAAGTTTGTCCTTTTTATTTCCAAATCTAGAGCTAGAAATTAGGAGTAGTAGGGGTAGCAAGTATCTCTTCTCTATCGAAAGTCTTAGTCTTAGACTGCTTTTTCCTTCTGGAGGCGCATTAACGTAAAGCAGAAAAACAATCTTCCTAGCTGACTGAAGTAGCAAGACAGAAAATGTGGAACTACCTCTTCTTATAACACACTGTGCTAAATAGAAATAGAAAGCAAATAGTTCATGTAATTTATTTCATTTTAGTTTATTCAAGCACTGACACATGTTATCTTACACCAATAATGGAGAATAATAGGATATCCCTGGCTTAAGTAATGATTTTCAGTTTTAATAGAGAAGATGTGTTCACCTAATAGAATTTTCTGTGTAATATAGGATTTAAGTGTTTTTACTGGAACTGTTTTGTAAAAGGAGAGATTTTACTTTAATCTCCAAAGGTAGAAATTACTCCTTAGCTTATGTTAGGAGTGTTTTTTATCCATTTTTTTGTCAAAGAACACTGTACAACATCAACATTTCTAATCCTCTAACTCATTTTATGATGTAGATGATAATTAACTACACCTCTAAAAAAGAAAAGTTATTTAAAAAGTCACATAACAGGCAGCAGTACACAAGAGTATTTTACTTTTTACAAGCACTTGCATCCAAGCAAAAAAGAACAGAAGTAAGATCTGGCTTTCCAAAACCCATAAAACAAGCTGCAGAACATATAAATAGAAATATCTCCTACATATTTTGGATAACATATGCAGTAAAATATAGATTAAACTAAGAGCTGTGCTGGCAAATATTCATCCTTAAATGGCACTAATAAATATGTTAAGAGTAAGAGCTTGGCAAGCTGTTTCTAAGAGAGAAGCACAGTAACTCTATTACTGTCCCTTTTTCCTCAGTTAATAACTCGCTACAAGGAAATTTTCTTGACTGAAGTTGCAGTAGCTGTGAAACCAAGTTGTAAGTTGTTCCTCTCTGATACGACTGACAGATGGGAAATTTTGTGTGCTTAAGTGCAAGGTTCACTGTTTTGAACAGCCGAGTCACAGATACCTCCCGATCGTTCCGAATGACGTTAACCTGCTCCCGTTGGCGAGCACAAATCCGTGCATTATGTAAACTCCAAAGGCTTAGGTGATTTGTGAGTGGCAAACAGGTCTGGCCCCGGCTCTCCTCAGTGGTCCGACTCTTGCTCCCTTTCATTTGTCTTTCTTCCGCTGACCCTAGCCCAGAACGTTTTGTTGAAATACAGAGCTCCCTCTCAAATTATAGTGCCAAGTTTGCTCTCGCTTTATGCCCCTGTGGAGCTAAACCAGCTCCACTGCCTTCAGCTCAAATACTCCACTTTGACACCGCATGAAAGTGGAGTTTGGCTCTCGAAGCGGCATGGCCCTGCGCTCCCCAGAGCAGAGCAGCTCGTTACGCCGCGCGCACATCCTGGAGGGGGAGCAAAGCAGCTCTGCTGTTTTCCATCAGAAATGACAGAAAAAGTATCAACCTCGGTTTTTCAAATCCGTGTAGCTGATGAACTGATAGAGTTGAAAAGTATAGCTGGGCCATTTTATTACGGTTTCTCTGTTTTATTGTGGTATCGCTCGTCAAATCAAGGTTTTCTTCCTTTTCGTAATCTATAAAGAACAAGCTTAATGTGTCATCTGAAGTTCTAAAATTTAATGGTAAACACAGGGATTTTATACATTTTGCCTTTGCAGTGTCAATGGAGGCCTATTACACTTGCAAGACTCCCTCCAAAAAAATACTTTCCAAAGTGCCTACTTTTACAGCCCAGTTGCATAGTCTGAAAAGTGACTTAATTTGCCTTTCTGGCTTGGAAAAGCCATAGCCCCATAGCCCTTCTAGCTGCAACAGTGAACTATCTGACCATATAACCTTGTAAGTGTTACAGTCCAGGTGATGGAAGAGTTTTCCTGTTCTTCTTTCTCTCTCTCTCTTTATTGTGCTCCATCTCCATGAGGACGAAGGCACACATGTGTCACAGCCCTGCTTGATGAGAGAAGGGAGGCTGGCACACATAGCAGCGTTACTGCATGCTTCCTATTTTCACATGTTTGTATTTGTCCCATAGAGAAACTTCCTGTGGAAGCAAAGTTGCCGTGGTACAAGCAGGCTCAAGAGCTGGAGGAAGGAGCAGTGGTGTCTGAAGAACCATCGTAAGTCTTAAAAATTTGTTTATATGTTCTCATGGTGTGGGGATCCGGGGCTTCCGCTGAACCAACGGAGTCTCTTGAAATTGTATTTGTCCTTCATTAGAGCGTAAAGGTTAAACCCAACCCTGTGGAAGTTTAATGGGCTTAAGGCTGTGTCCAACTTAGGTATGAAGAGACGGAATTCAAGAGGGCAAATGCAGATTTGAATTGAACAAATATATACATGTTTTGTTTAAGGTCATTTACAGTAATATTACAGTAAGAGTTTGTCTACCCATGTAGTTACATGTTCCCCACTACCACTGTATCTCCACAACTCTGGACCTTTATTTATTCTCACAATACCCCTGTGAAGTAAGAGATGAAATACACTGACGATTCCGCCTCGCCTCTCCCCCAGGAAGAGGGTAGTAGCAGTAAATAAAATGAATTAGCTTGAGTAGAAAATAAACTAGAAAACTCAGCCCTGTGGTTTGGATTGCCTTGTCATGACTTACCTCATCATTTCAGGGATTTTACCCTCCCTGCTTTTCTAGCCATTTCATGATCCTTGCCCAGCCACCTTTGCAAGATGGATCTCAGTCATCACCTTGTACCCTGTTAGCAGCTTTTCCTTCTGCTGCAACCCCTTTTGGACAGCAGACTGGTTTACATACATACATTCACAGTCCCCTTGCACTAGGGCTGCCTGAAATGGTGGAAACTGTACATTTTCCTCCTAAATAAGTAAAATTAGCTCATTATGTCCCTTAACTGTAGCTTTTTCTTTTTTCTTTTCCTATTTGTTTGTCTTCTGTTTTGTGACAAAATTACCATTGTGTTAGAAATAAGTGGAGAGCATAAAAAAGTTACAGGTAATGCTGAAGGATTTCAGGAGGAAGGAAAAAAATATTGCAACAAAAAGCTGGGAAAGAACACTTCAGTTAGGGTTGATACCTGCCTTTTTAATGTATCGGTAAGAAAATCTGACTGTATGAATCTGACCTGATGTAGCAAAGTTCTTCACAGAGTGCTATAGAAAATGTAGTTTAGCAGTTTCTGCATGTGCTTCATTTCATTAATAGTAGGACTGGAGAAGAAGTTAGAATAATTAAGGAATTTAAAAACAAACTCAGATTTTCATTCAGAATTAAGTTTTATTGTCATTTATGGATAATTAGTCTTCCTTAGCCCAATAAAATTGCAATGAAAAGGAAGCTCAGTAAAACTGGTGTACCATACAAACCTTCAGCAATGAGGCTGAGAAGCTAAAAATACTATTATGATTATGTTTTGGATTTTTTATTCTGGAACTGTGCTAAATGCATGCTATAATTGTAACTTCTGTACACAGCTTTAATCAATATCCAGTTCCTCATGGCTGAGCACATAGTATTTTTTATTGCCACTGCAGCTCTGTATTAGACTAAAAAACATGGATCGTTATGCAATATAATTGCAGTTTTGGCATAGTTAATCTGAATCGAAGTCATTTGAAACTGGAACGTTAAAATAGAGCTAGTGATATATGTAATAAAGTCCTCAAAATAAAAAATAATTTTAATTCAGCTGCCATATGCATGCCTAAATGCATACGTACACACACATACATATATACATACACACATTCATGCACGCATATACAAACATACATATTCATATGTGTATATATATACTAGTAGCAGCTATTGCAGGTAATATGAGATGATTAACAGTTTTCAAAGTTTCACAGACTTTGTAGGTCAATTTATTCAGCGTCAAAATCTAGAAGATTCAATATTTGTGAATATACTCATTTTTCATGTGTAAAGTGCAGTTTATTTTTTTGTGATTTTTCTTATGACTATACTAAACGACTTGCATTTATCAAACTGCAAATAACCCCTGGAAGCATACATTAAAAAAGATGCATTATCAGGAATCATACTGTTATGTGGTCGTATATGAAACAATTTGTTACACTAAAATTTTTTAGATAAATTTTGTGAATGCTGTTGACAGTATGGTAGAAAAAAAGCATAATAATATATATATGAGTATGTGTATCTTTAAATAATAACAAGAAGGGGTTTATGGAGAATAGGCATAACCTGCAGGGAAAGATGCAGAGGCTTTTGTTTGTCATGACATCTATTTTAGTAAAATATTTTGGAAAACCTTATGGATATATTACTTTTGATATTAAAAGAGACCTTGAGACATATAAAGGGAAAGGAGTTTAAGAACTTTGAAATGTTTTATGTGCATCTATGACACCTCCTTACTTTATAGTTCCACTGCTGTGCTGCAATAAAGGCCCTACTCTGCAAAGAATCTTTTTACCCTATCTCATGCAACACTTCAGTGATACCGGTGGGACTAACACATCAAAACAGTGGGGCACAGACTAGATTCATTCCGTCATGGAGTGACATTTTGTACATTTTTTTCTCCCTGCAAAGCACAACTCTGGGAGCACTTATAATCTTTATTTTAGGCTAATGAGTAATCAACATGACATTAAATTAAATTATAGATTTTTATATGCGTTGACTAACAGCTAAAATAAAAGGCACACAGTCAGGGTCTTTATGCAAACTTTCCCAAAGCTTAGAGATATCCATGCCTTGTGTTTAGTTTGGAATGACTTCTAGTGATAAGGCATGAGACAGAAAGACCAAATAAAAACTTAGAATTGTGCTGAAAGGGCCATCCGTGCAATCCCCACCTGTAAACTATAACAGCCATCTGCAGATTTTTCCAGAATATCTAATCTGTTGACAGCCAACCTGAGCGGTGAACTTCCACATTAAGTTCATTTGGGTGCCTCACTATTACTAGCGTTTTTCATTAACGTCAAACTTTAAACAGTTATTCATTTCAGGTCCTGGTTATTAGACTGAAAAACTCTATGTAATGGTATAAAAAAAGAGATAAAACATTCAGAACTCACCAAGATACAATCAGCAATCAACTTTGGTGCCAGTTTGATAGCATCACTTCTCTTCGTTCCACTGTATAGGTGTTTCAAAGACACCAACTAGTTGAAAAGCAAGGTGTATCACATGATAATGCACCTTTCAGCCCGTGTTTTCTGCAGATATGCAGAGACACAACGTAATACTCCATGGCTTACCATGCTGTCAGATGTCGTTCTATGACCCATACATTTTGGCTGACGAATGAGCAGTCCAGAGTGTAGGTGCATGCCAATTTGAGGGCTGAAACGGTTGAGGGTTTTTAAACGTTGGATCAATCACTAGCTGGTGTAAGACAGCACGTGATGTATCCAGTTGTTCTACTGACTGTGAATTTGAGTAACTGAAACACAACCATCTATTTCTTACTGTCCTATGCCTAAGCGTGTTGTTGTGTGTTACTTTGCTGTAAATATTTTCAGAAAACATACAAGGGTTAGTAAAAAACAAGCTTAATTACTTGCTTCTCCTTCTCCGAGGAAGCCATTTCTTTTCTCTGATTCAGTAGAGTGGAGCTGGCTGAGCAGGGTTTGAGGGTAGGAGTTGAGCTGCGCAGCCAAGATGGGATTTCTTTGAGACCCCACTCCTCTGCTCAGCAGGCAGGGAATGACAGACAGAGGAGAGGTAGAATGGAGGGGAAGGAGGGCACCTGTAGAGCAGGAGGAACAGCAGAAGACCTCCAGTGGCACGGTAATCCGGGTGCTGAAAAGGTAGTGTTGTGTGTTCATCAGCACATTTGCTTGAAGCTGGAGTAATGGAACTTTCTTCAGAAAAGCTATGCTTATGTGATTTTCCTATTCGCTCTATATCAGTGCAGTAATTACCAATTTCATGACTGCGATGTCAGTAGGGACTCATTCTTTTCCTATGCTTCATCCGAGGCTCTTCTCGAGATTTCTTATGCCTCCAAGTCACTGCCTACAGAGAGGGCAATCTCCTCTACAGATAGGGTCATTCTTTGTAGATAGAAGACCATTCTTCCCCTACCACTGTCACTCTTTCTTCATTATCATTCTTCAAGTAGAGAAAACAAACCCCATCTATAAGCAACTCTATTGTCCTTCTCAAAGTTTATTTTTGATTGGAAATTTAAAAGCCAAATCTGGAAATTTTCAGCAGAGCTCTTCTATGCATTGAGTTCTCATATTTGTGAATCTCTATATTGCTGTGTTGTGACTTTTGTGACTTTCTATTGAATATGATTTTTTAAAATGAAATTGCATATTGAGTTATAAAGTTACACATTTTTTTTACATTGTCCATCCATCTGTAATTTGCAATCAGTCTCTCATGTGTCCTGCTAGAGTAGCAGATGCCTCATTTTCATTCCATCTGCGTATAGTGCCTTCCATTATTTATTTCTTCAGGAATTTCTAAAGGAAGCAAGTCTTACAGTTTAATTTTGTCTGTATATGTCTATCTGTCAGTTGCCTTCCTCTTCTCTCAGTAATGTCTGAATTTGTTCCTATTAACTGAATTTGACAGAGGTATAAAGTTATCACAGGGAATTTTATCCCTCTGTCAAAGTTGGTTGATATTCACCAGGAAATTCAGTGGTAGTATTGTCCACATATCTCACTGAACTAAATGACTAGGTAGAAAACAACACCCTAAAATTCCCCAGTTGAAGGAAAAATTTCTAAAGGAGTTCGGTCCTTAAAGGATACCAGGGAATCCACTTGGGCACTCAGTCTTCAAATACAAATCTGTGTTAAGTCAGTCTTCATCAGTTCTGCTGCTCAAAGAATTAGTCATAACAAGTTCAGCCACTTGCAGGCTAGAAGGGACAGTTGTGTTTGTGTTGCCTGACCTGCTGCAACCCTAGATGGGGTCAATTAAATATTAATTGCTGACGGGACTACTATGAAATACTCTAGATTGGTAAGAAAGTATTGCAATCTTTGTTAGGACAAAGGTTTGAGGTGAGAAGTCCTTGCTATCTTGAGTTGTCATACATATTGTTCTACAGCTGTCCATCTCTGAAGCGACCATTGACTAGGCCTCAGAATTATGTCGTCTGAGGGAGAAGCCACAGTACCTTTCTGTCTGACCTCCTTCACTGGAGCT